TTGAAGAAATATACTGATGACTTTACTCTTTGGTTATACTTTCCTTTTGGATGTTTAAGACCATACAGTTGGCCCAAATAAATCAATTTATTTTTACACTTAAGATCACCTGAGGATCTGTTCCTCAGTGGTCACACGGGCTTGGGAGGATTCCTTTCGTTTTTGTGAGATAAAAACCTTACTCTTGTAGTCTAGACTGACCTGTCCTTTTGGTGGTATGGACCACCAGTGCCTTGGCAGTACTGTTGGTGTATGTACACATGGATGCCAGAGGACAATGGGCATCTTCCTCAGTTTCTCTCCACCCTATTTTTCTGAGAAAGGTTCTCTCAGTGCACCTGAGAACTTGCCAATTTGGTTAGATTGGCTGGCCAGCAAGTGCCAGGATCCTCCTGTCTGTCTACAACTCCCCATCTCTGGAACTACAGACACTCACTGAAATTCCTGTTTTTTCAAATACAAGTGCTAGGGATCTAATTCAGGTCTTCGTGCTTGCCTGGTAAGCACGTTACCGACTGCACCATCTCCCTAGTCCCTTCTTCCCCACTTTTTGAAGAGATTCAAGACAGCCAGGCTGGCTTAGAAGTCACAATCCTGCCTCCACTTTGTGAGTGCTGGGAGTATAGGTTATATTACCATGCTTGGCTAAGTTTAACTTTTTTGAGGAACTGCCAAAATGTTTTCCACAGATACTTCACCATATTACATACTAGCAATGTAAACACACAACCTGCCAACACTCATTTCTAGGGATCCTAGGAAGTGGGGTTTCTGGCTTGCACTTCCCTACTGACTAATGAGGCTATGCAGCCTCTCAAACCTACTGCCATTTCTGTATCTTCTACAAAGAAGCATCTACTCATTTCCTTTTTCAATTTGTGAACTGGATGTTGAGTTGTTTTCCTTTAATATTTTATTTATTATTTTTATTTTATGTGTATGCGTGTATTGCCTGCATGTAGGTAAGTGCACCCGTGTCATGCAATGCCTGCAGAGGACAGAAGAGGCTGTTGGATCCCCTGGAACTGGAGTTACAGACAGTTGTTAGCTGCCATGTGTATGCTGGGATTCGAACCCTGGTCTTCTGCAAGAACAGTGTTCTTAACCACTGAGCCACCTCTCCAGCCCTGGATGTTGAGTTTTAAGAGTTCTATTATAATTATTGAGCCAGGCATGGTGGTGCATGCCTGTAATCTCAGCACCTGGGAGACAGAGGCAGGAGGACCAAGTTTTCAGGGTCAACCTTTACACAAGACACCGTCTGGAAAAAAAATCAGTTATTTAGCCAGCTACACACCTTTAATCCCAGTGCTCAGGAGGCATAAACAGGCTGATCTCTGAGTTCGAGGCCAGCCTGGTCTATAAAGTGAGTTCCAGGCCAGCTGGGGCTACAGGGAGAGCCCGTCTCAAAAACAACAACAACAACAACAACAACAACAACAAAAACCCCATCAAAAATCAGTTATTTAAATATTCTGGCAAGTACTTAGCACATGTGACTAGTAAATACCTTCTCCTATTCTGTGGGTTGTTTTCAAAGTATGTATGTGAAGCCGGGCGTGATGGCGCACGCCTTTAATCCCAGCACTTGGGAGGCAGAGGCAGGCGGATCTCTGTGAGTTCAAGGCCAGCCTGGTCCACATAGTGAGTTCCAGGACAGCTGGAGCAACAGGGAGACCCTGTCTCAAAAAGACCAAAAAAAAAAAACAAAAACAAAAACAAAGTATGTATGTGATGCCCCTGAGTGAATTTTAATGAAGTCGATTAAACAAAAACGTTTTTGTTGTGGTATGTTTTTGGTACCACACATAAGAACTCCAAAATCATAAAAATACATCTCTATATTTTCTCTTAAGAATTTTAGTTTTAGGGCTATAGGTCAGTGGTGATAAAAGCACTTGCCTAGAATGCACAAGGCCCTGGCCTCTATCCATCCCCACAATCACCAGAAAAACCCAGTAATTACATAATATATATTAAAAAAACTTACATCAAAGTAAGGTGGCTCACCCATATAATTTTAGCACTTGTTGAGTCTGAGGCAGGAGGACTGCCATGAGTCTGAGGTCAGTCTAGGCCACTGAGAGAAACACACACACACACACACACACACACACACACACACACACACACACACACACACACACACACACACACACACACACACACACACACACACACACACACACACACACACACACACACACACACACACACACACACACACACACACACACACACACACACACACACACACACACACACACACACACACACACACACACACACACACACACACACACACACACACACACACACACACACACACACACACACACACACACACACACACACACACACACACACACACACAGTTGTGATTCCATTTGGGCCATCTTGCCAGCATTCTAAAGTACTTTTAAAAAAGGGGACTTTCCCTTAACAACTGTAATCCTGGCACTTTATGCAGACAATGCTGGTTAAATTTTTATCTTACACCAAATTTCATGAGTTGGTTCTCTAGCATTCTCCAAAGGTCTCAGATTTTTTAACCCATAAATTCAAAATAGTTGATGAATTTTAATCCATTGCAATTACTGTCCTTGTTGATGACCAGAAGGTTCCTCTGTAGCCCATGGCTCTTCTTTCCCTTGGTTCCCAGTAACTGTGGTGACTAATTGGTTCTCTGGCATCATAAGATATTCGAGGCTTTTTGTATATCCTGACTTCAAGATGAAATTGGCCATTTCTCCAGTAAAGTGGGAATGTCCAATCCTCTTGCATCAAAGAACCCTTATCTTTAAAGTAAACCCAGAGAAGCTCTATTTTGATTCCTCTTGTTCTATAGATGAGGACTGAGGATGTAGCTTAGGAGGGTAGCTGATCAGTGTGTACAAGGCCCTGGGTTTAATACCCAGTACTGAGTAACTGGCTGCACTACTCCATTCAATCCACTTCCTTATCTGCAAGTTAATCCAAATCCTTCCTCAGTGGAGAAGTGCTGCCCTTTAGAGCATTTCTAACCTAGCCAAAGTACAGCAGAGTCACAACAGACACTTTCCCAAAAGATTTTCACTTTGGAATAAATACCACAGACTAATATCCATTTGGTGAACACGCCTGGTTCCCGAAACTCCAAACTAAAAAAGAAATGTCACTGCAATGAAGCCAATGCAGGAGATGTGGGCTGACCATGGTGGATGCTCTCCCATTAGTTGTTTTTTACTCCTGGTTTCAATTTCTTAAGTTTCATTTTAATTCTACAATGAGCCATCTTCTAGGATATGAATCCCAAATGTGTAATGATTTCCCGTATGTAACTCCAGATGTTTAAGAATTTTCCATTTTAGAAAGCTAGACCATTTATTTATTTATTTATTTATTCATTCATTCATTCATTTATTTTTATTTAAAGACAGGGTCTTACTATGTAGTCAGGTTTGGCTTGGAATTCTGATCTTCCTTCATAGCATCCCTAGTGATGAGATTACAGCTGTAAAACACCATGGCTACGTAGATCTTATCTCCCCCATCCCACTTTATTATTACTTTTTCTTGAGATAAGGTCTCACGTAGCCCAGGCTGGTGTCAACTCAAAATGTAGCAGATGCTCCTGAACTCCTGACCCTCCTGCTTCTACCTCTGAAGTGTTGGGCTACAGGTGTGCATAGTACACCTATCTAGACCCTATCTTTTGGCTACAGAAAAAGGTGGGAAAGAACTGAAGATGTAGTTTAGCTGGAACTGCTCTGCATGCACAAAGCTCTGGGTTCAGTGCCTAAGCATTGACCAAAAACTGGGCACAGTGGGCACATGCCTATAGTTCAGCACTTGGGAAGTGGAGGCAGGAGGATCAGAGGTCATCCTCAGCTACATAGTAAGTTGACATGAGCCTGAGCTACAGGGTCCCTTAAAAAAAAAAAAAAAAAAAAACCAAAAGAAAGTTGGAAAAGAGAACAGTTTAAAAATACTGCTAAGCCATGAGTGGTGACTAATGCCTGTAATCCTAACACTTGGAACACTGAGGCAAGAAAACTGCCACAAAAGTTTAAGGCCAGCCTGGGCTACATAGTGAGCTCTAGGCCAGCCTAGATTACAGAGTAAGACCCTATCTAAAATAATAATACTGATAATAAAAAACAAAGATATTGCTATGACAATAATGAAGTCCTAGGCTTCATTATCTATAAGCTCTGGCCAAAGTAAACCCCAGCAATGTTCTGTACCACTTAATCCAACAAATGTATCAGATAGGGTGTACAGGCTCTGGGACAGAGGGAAGTCAAGATTTGCTTTATCAATCCTCTGCCTCAGCCCAGGGAGTTTCACAGATCTAATCAGTATGTTCTAAGGTCAAGTCCAAAGTCAAATTGCTCTGGCATACTTTTCCCCACCAGCTTCTAAATTTGGCAGTGCAGGTGAAGAGATAATGTTTATCTTATTCCATGGGTGACTTTACCAGATCAGAGAGGTAAGACCCACTTTTACCAAGCATCATAAATCCTCAAAGATAACTAGTACCAAGACTTCAATCGTGTGAGGAAAAGCCTGTCAAGAGCCATCATCTTGGGCTGGGGAGGTAGCTCAGGGGTAGAGCGGCAGTGGGGGGTGGGGGGTGTTGATATATAATCTTTCCTTTCCAAACCAAGTAAGGGCCAAACCCTATGCTATGTGCATAGTCACCAGCCCTCAAGTGAACAGAGGGGTAGCACAGACCAGCACTATTCTGCTGCTGTACAGATACCAACAGAACTACTACCCCTAGGGCTTTAGTCATCATGAGGTTGGACCATGTTTCCTCAGTGATCCAGGGTGCTTTTGAACCTAATGAAGAATGAGTACACTCAGGAAAATTAACATTGTCTACTTGCTTCTTCCTAGTAATACATCATACCTACTTGCTCTGGAACATTTCTTTTTTAAAAAAAAAATGTGCTGGGGGCTGGAGTTAACTCCAATTCCAGGGGAATCTGAAGCACTCTTCTGACCTCTCCGCGGGCATTGCACGACACGGGTGCACTCACATACATACAGGCAAAACACTCATATACATAAAATAAAAATAATAAATATTTAAAAAAAAAATGTGTTATGAGTGTATTGCCTGCATCTATGTGAGTGCACCCATGTCCGGCAATGCATGTGGAGGTTAGAAGAGGGTGTCGAATCCCCTGGAACTGGAGTTAGGATTGTTGTTAGCTGCCATGTATGTGCTGGGAACTGAACCCAGGTCCTCCGCAGAGCAGCCAGTGCTCTTAACTGCTGAGTCATCTCTCCAGCCCCTTGGAGCATTTTCTTAAGAGAACTTGGCAAAACTTTTATTTTTCTTTCCTGTCTACTATCTCAATGCAATTCATACCTTGGGCTTATTTGGGTGTGCCAAGGGTGCAGTGGCAGTGACTGGGGACCCAAAAATGTCACTGGTCTTCCCACCAGGGGGGTTCAGACGTTGTCGAGTCTGCACAGGAGTCGATTCATCAAAGATACCACTTCCTTTCCCCCCTGCAGAAACAATCACAGAACAATGAACATCAGAACACCCATCCCATCTTATTTCATAGCTGTTACCTTAGAGACAACCTCTCACTGAAGACCTAGTGCCCATCCTAAGTTCCAAGACTGCTCCAAGTCCCTGAAGCCCTGCACCTCAGCCAATCCTTTACCCGGGGCCTGCTGCAACCTTCATTTATAGACCCAAGCTGACCTGGACTGCTCTCTAGAAGAGAAAAGGAATAAACATCACCTTTTCCCAGAGCTTTTGTAATGCTCAACAGTACACTTTTTTCTGTTAAAAGTCTCCTCTCTGGGGCTGGAGAGATGGCTCAGCGGGTAAGAGCACTGACAGCTCTTGCAGAGGACCCAGGTTCAACTCCCAGCACTCACATGGCAGCTATGAACCATCCTTAACTCTAGTTCTAGGGGAATCTGAAGCCCTCTTCTGACATCCACGGCATTACACAACACGGGTGCACTCACATACATGTAAGCAATATACTCACACACATACATTAAAAAATATAAATTAAAAAGAAAAAGTCTCCCCTTTCCCCTGTTAATCAGAAAGAGTTCTTAAACAGATTAAAAACAAAGAGTTAAGCAACAAGAATGATCCTCAGAAACACTGAGCTAAGAGAAGACAAATGAATAAGACATGTTATGTCAATACATTTATGTGAAAAGACCAGAAAAGGTGATTTTTATTTTTTAAAATTTTATTTTATGTGTATGAGTGTTTTGCCTGCATGTATGTAAGTGCACCTGTGTCATGCAATGCCAAAAGAGTTCAGAAGAGGGCGTCAGATCCCCTGGAACTGGAGTTATGGACACTTGTTAGCTGCATGTGGGTGCTGGGACTCAAACCCAGGTCCTCTGTGAGAGCAGTCAGTGCTCTTGACCACTGAGCGAGCCATCTCGCCAAGCCCAGAAAAGGTAATTTTAATAGAGATAGAAAACAGAACAGTTGGTATTTAAGACTGGGGAAGAAAGCAGCAGAGAGCTAAGTGCAAATGGAGATGAGGGAATTTTCAGAAGTAATGGGGGGGGTAATTTATACATCAATAAAGCTATTTTATACTATATTAGAAAAATGCATAGTGTTTATCATGAAAAAAAGTTAAATGCTTAGTTCACACAAGAGCTCAGCCCTGTTCATGGTGAACCTATGACCTATAAAAATAACACATGAGTCATTCTGATCTCATTCTGGCTGGAACGTCTAATGATGACTAGATGTCAGCAAGTTCGAGACATCCTCCTTGCTGCCCACAATGTGGGTGTTAGGAACTGAACCCTGGTCCTCTGCAAGAACAGCCAATGCTCTTAACCACTGAGCCCAATATAAAATTTTTATTTTAGACTACATGCATATAAATAGCCATGGTCATTTAAATTTTGTGCATGTTGTTGAAACTTATTCTTCTGTTGTCTGGGCCTCTGCACAAGTAAATGAAACTATTCAGTGTTATAAATCATTGCTTAGAGGCATTTGCTGTGGATTTCTGAAACACATTAACACCGATAATGTCCCCTTACAGTTGTAAAACCCTTGCAAAATTTCGTCAAATATGGGACATTTTACATATAACTTACATATAGCCCAAGAGGACAAGCAAAAATGGTACATACTCATTACAGAATAAAATTTCAAATTAAAAACAAAAGAGGAAACAAGAGGCTTTTCCCTCTCTCTAGGCTTCTTAAAGAAGCCTTACTTAAATTTTTTTACATGCAATAATCAGGAGGTGACTCCAATGGAACATCATTAATGGCCAATGCACTCCTGGTAGCTCTCCACTGGCATACTGGAAAACACCTGAATAGGATATATGTAAAGGACCTGCTCTCTTAATAAAATGGGATAGAAAGGATTTCTACCAAAGGATTTTTTCCAGAAACCACAGCTGCACCTTTCTAGGTTCCTGGCAGGTATGTGAAACAATGGCATGGAGAACAGCTGACATGATCCTGGGAGCCAATGGAGTGTAAAGGATGCAGGTGTAAAGGATCCAAGGATACCAGCAAGGAGATGTGAATATGGGCCACTACAGAGTACTCAATAGAAGTTGGTGGCTGCCCTACAAAAACTAATCCTTTAAAAAGCAAATTACAATCATACTAGTATTGTTTATAACAGAACCAGTGGGATAGAGGCTTGTGTATTTGCTCCCAACGTGTTTATGATGGGAGATAGTATTCAAATCCTACACAATGTCACTACTCAGGTATATCATATATATAAACTGTTAACTCTATCATTGTGTTAGGATAACAACAACAAAATCAATCAATTATGGTCATGCATCAACCTACTGCAATTTGGATACCTGAATAATGGGAACAAACCTCTGCCTTACTGATTCTGCATACTGTATTTCAAAAGGTGTTACAAGGAAAGCAAGTCATAGGTTAAATCATTGGTGTTATTTTACTATTATTGGGATAATTATATCCATGGCTACATCAGCAGTGGCCCTGTCCGAAGAAGTCCAGACTTATACTTTTGAAAACAATCTTGCTCAAAATTATTCTCAATTATGGCATGTTTAACATGCTATAGATTTGGCCTTTCCAGATGAACTAGATAGTCTGACAGATACAGTGTTTTGGATGGATAAGGAATTATAAAATATTCATACTGAAATGAAACTTGTCATTATAATGTTGCTACTTACTGTATTAGTCCCCTAAAATATAACAATAGTAATTATGATTGGGATAAAGATTGAGCGCATGTTTTGGAGAAAACAATGTAACTTTGGATTACACTTGCTGTACAAAGAGATATTAAACAGTCCGGTGCGGAGGCCCACGCCATTAATCCCAGCACTCAGAATAAAAATAGTATTTTTTTAAATACTCAGAAGGCAGAGGCAGGTAGATTTCTGAGTTCAAGGCCAGCCTGGTCTACATAGTGATTCCAGGTCAGCTGGGGCTACAGGGAGACCCTGTCTCAAGACACCCCCCCAAAAAAATATTAAATAACTAAGCTTGATTTGATTAGATATCTCTAACATACAATCACTGGAAGTATAGCCACTGGATTTCAAGTCTTCAATCCCAAAACATGGTTTAAAAATCAAAACACTGTTTTTTTTGCTTTACTCATTGTGACTATAACTGTACTCTATCTTTTCCGTCCAGTTTGAGGAACTGAATTAACCAACAGAAAGAAGTCAAAATGAAGATTTGGAAGCCAAAACTGACCACGGTTATCCTCATGCAACAATTAAATTTTTTACAAAAGGGGAGCGGTTAAGAACACTGACTGCTCTTGCAGAGGGCTAAGTTCGATTCCCAGCACCCACATGGCAGTTAACAACTGTCTGTAACTCCAGTTCCAAGGGAATCTGAAGCCCTCTTCTGACCTCCCTCCACAGCATCGCATGACACGGGTGCACTCACATACATGCAGGCAATACACTCACACATAAAATAAAAATAGTATTTTTTAAAAAAAATGTGGGGGAGTAGCCGGGTGTGGTGGCGCACACCTTTAATCCCAGCTGGGAGGCAGAGGCAGGAGGATCAAGGCCAGCCTGGTCTACACAGTGAATTCCAGGACAGCTGGGGCTACAGGACACCCTGTCTCAAAAAGACCAAAAAAGAGGGGGTGGAGTGGGGGTGGGAGGGGGATGTTGGAGACCACTAATTTACTTCAACTCTGCTGAAAGCATGTTTGACCACACCAAACAGTCCCTCTGGTCAAGAATGTCTACGTGGCAAAAGCTGCATAGGCATGCGTGTTGAGGTAAAGGAACACAAGGTCCCCACCCCAAATTATATAAGGAAATAACACTGACCATTGGTAACTGCACCCTGTTATGCATAGCTAGTCTTAGTTGTAGTAAGCAAATTCTTTGTTTAAAAATAACATATCTAGAAGTCTTGAAGTTCTCTCAAGACTGAGTAAAAATCACATTAGTTGCCCTTCTTACACAGGTTAAAGCAATAAATACACTGTGAAACAGAAGCTCAAGGCTATGTTCCCTAAGCAGAAAGTCTCCTGGTCCCCACTCTTGAGATTCTAATTAAGAGTGGTTGTTCTTTTCTGGGGGCTAGAGAGATGGTTCAGCGGTTAAGAACACTGACTGTTCTTTCAGAAGACCTGGGTTCAAATCCCAGCACCCACATGGCAGCTAATAACTATCTATAACTCCAGTACCAGGGGAGGGCTTAGGCTGGGGTCTGCCTTTTTCAGGGGAACTAACACTTTGAAAAATGTGAGATCTGTGCCATTGTGTAACTTTAGAATGATTACAAACTTTCTGAGCCTCAGTCAGGGACCTTCTGGGGATCAGTCCCAACACTGGACACCTCAGCCGGGGAAAGGCAACACAATGTGGAGTTAGTTAAGAGCTCCATAGCTAGGCTGTCAAGAGTCAGAGGCCCTGCTTAGTCACTCATTAACTATATGACCTCAGACAAGTACACCTTGTGTCTCTACTTTCTCAACTTTAAAATGGAAATAATACCTAAGGTGTTTAGTGGAGCTAAATCAATTGACACAGGCCAAGCGTAGGCACTCTGAGTGATGATGCTAATCATACTAGCAGACCGTCTGGATTTTGAGAGGGAGAGACACTGCCTCCCAGTGTCATTTGCAAAGGTCCACAGAGGAGTATCATTTAAAATTCGAATTAATTTAAGGAGTACATTCTGTAATCTCAGCACTCAGGAGATTAAGGAAGAAGAACTAAAGAGTTCAAGGTATTGTCTGGAGAAAAAAACTGCCGGGCGTGGTGGCGCACACCTTTACTCCCAGCACTCAGGAGGCAGATCCTTGTGAATTCAAGGCCAGCCTGGTCTACATAGTGAGTTCAGGTCAGCTGGGACTACAGGGAGACCCTGTCTCAAAAAGACAAAAAAACAAAAAACAAAAACAAAACAAAACAAAACAAAAAAACCCAAGCTGGTCTACATAATAAGTTCCAGGTCAGCTGGGGCTATAGGAGACTCTGTTTCAACCCTCCCCGCAAATAAATAAAAACCAAATTGCAAAAAGTAAATATTTCATTGGCAGACAAGTAAAGATATACATTGTAGTGGTTTAAATGAGTGTCACCTAAGTATGTGAACCCTTGGTCTCCAGTTTATGGCACTTTTGGTGAGGGTCATGGAACCTTAAAAGGGGATGTGGCCATGCTGGAGGAAGCATGTCACTGGGGGGTGGGTTTCACAGTATACAACCATGCCCACTTCCAGTCTGACTCTGCTTCCTGTTTCTGCTTGAAGATGTGATGGTTTCTCCTTCTGCTTTGGCCACCTCTATCGCCATGCCTCCCCCACCATTATGGACTCTAACCCTCTGGAACCTTAAGCCAAATACATTCTTCTGTAAGTTGCCTTGGTCATGGTTCTTTAATAAAGCAACAAAAAAGTAATACATACATTATGGGTATATCATGGATAACCTTTTAAGAACTGGAAGTATCTGTATTTCAAATTCATGTACCAGCTGATCCAGCAATGAATACTTCTAGATTATGGATTCTGGAGGCAGAAAAAAAACTAGATCCAAAGGCCAATTCTGACAGTAACTAGATATATGTTCAGGGATGCCTGGAACTTCCCTGAGTTCCATTTTTGCTGCTATAAAATGGTTGTGAGACCTTACCTACTACAGCTATGGTGAAGGTGAAATGAAAAATATATACAAAGCACTTAGTACACTCACTGGAAACACTAAAAGAAGCCATAAATATGAACCATCCTGTTAGGTGAATATGGAAAAATTTTCTGAAGATTTAGACAAGAAATTAGCAAGGAACACAGAGACTAATGAACATGAGACACTGAAGGGCAATCAATCTCCAGTAAACCTTCCATGTCCTCATACTGAAAGTTATCTATGCTTTGCTGCTGCATATTTCTCAATCAAGTTCTCAAACTAGAATGTTGCAGGACTAAGTTTAAAAGACTGAGCATAGAAACCAGGATTTACTAGTGAACTGTGCCTTTCTACCCTCACAGACTATTTGCAAAGAACCCCTGGCAAGATAGAAAACAAGCCCCAAAACCACAAAATGCAGAAACCTGATCATGGCAACAAGATGGTTGCCATTATACCTTATGATCATGCACAGAAAGTACTGGCTGACTTTATAGAACAAGGAGTTCAGTGCTCCACTGAGCATCAGAGTATTTTGATGCTTGAAGTTCTATGGAATGGGCACAGCGGCACATCATGCTTTTCAGGGTACCTGACTTCATATGGAGGAAGGCCTAAAGACAACCCTGCTGAAGGAGGGCAAAGTGAGATGGCTCACAGACACACACCACAATGCCCAATAAAAAAGCCTTTTTGAAGACTCCCTAGTAACATCAGAGTAATACTCAAGAACTCTATCAGTGTAAACTGTCTAGAATTCCCATTGAAATCAAAACAAAAATATTCTTCCTAAGGAAGAATTTCAGAACCTCAGGGGGTCCAAGAATCAGAAGCCCACCACCCACTGTTTTACTCTCAGCAACTGCATTTAGTCAATGTCTGTTGAATAGACAGAGCACTCAAGATGCTCTAGCTACCTTCAAGGTAGAAAGTAACAGGCCGGAGAAAGTTTTTCTTTCATTTTAGAGAAATTTTGATGACAAGAGATAATGTATACTAGAAGGTCTTTGAAAGGAACTGTATAAAAGAAAAACTGGGCATGTAGTCCATGCCTATAATTCCAGCACTTAGGAGCTTCAAGTTCACAATCTAGGTTGTACAGAGAGACTTTGTCTTAAAAACAACAAAAATCAGGGGCTGGAGAGATGGCTCAGCAGTTAAGAACACTGGCTATTCTTACAGAAGACTCAAGTTCAAATTCCAGCACCCACATGGCAGCTAACAACTGTCTGTAACTCCAGTTCCAGGGGCTCTCTGACAGCCTCTTCTGTCCTCTGCGGGCATTGTACGACATGGGTGCACTTACCTACATGCAGGCAATACACATATACACATAAAAATAATAAAGAAAATATTAAAAACCAGCAGCAACAACAAGAAAATCAAACAAAAGAAACCAATGAAGAGAAGATAATAAAAGTCAAGGGATCTAGGAATTATGCAGTCCACACCTGGAGGATTTGTCCTCTTGGGTAGGTTTTGAGGTTCTTCAGTTGGTCCAAAAATATTAGATGCCATCCTATTAGGCTTGCTTGAAGGAACAGCTTCTTCTGGGCTTCCAAAAAGATTGCTTAATTCCCCTCCTCTAGGGGACTTCATGGATCTACAAGTGCAGAGCAAACACAGGTTAATGTCAGCTTGTCAGGACTCACACTACAATTGGTGTTGGTGGTCTTTCCCACAGTTTAGATCAATAACAGACAGTAGTTATTTAAGCCAATGCTGGGCTCATCACAAAGCGTAATGGTACATGCCTATAAACCCCAGAATTTAGGAGGCTGAGGCAGCCTAGAGTTCAAGGCCAGCTTGGATTACACAGTAAGATTCTGTCTGTCTCACATACACACACACCCACACACCCACGGATGAGGGAACCACACGAGGCACTTTATATTTTCTAAAAGTCACACTATAAAAATTAATGAGGATCAGAAATTAGTTTTAATAGACTTTAATCACCCTAACATATGATAATATTGTTTGAGATTACGATCAGGATAAAAGACATGGTTAAAGAGTACTAATTTGTTCTCTTTTCTATACTCTCTCTGGAGAGTAGCTTATATGTAAGCGTGTCTTTATCCTTATCATTCTTTTTACACAGTAGCCATGGTAGCCAGGGACTCCCATGCCAGAACTCATAGGTGCTAATGGGGGGGAGAGGTCAAACTTGATTGGTGGTTAAATGGTTAAAGGGGTGGCCCCTTTGGGTTTTCCAGACAACTTTAGAAAGGCATAGGGGTATACTCTATTCCCTAGACCTTCTGCCTGGTTTTTGATTCAGACTGCACTACTTCCTATGTGTCTTTTGGGAAATTACATGATTTCTCCTATCTCAGGTTCATCATCTCTGAAGATAAACCCTAACTTAGAGGGTAGATATAGGGATCTACATTGGGATGATCCTCTACAATGGCAGGATTGGAAAAAAAAAAAAAAAAAAAAACTACTGGCACCACTGCCTAAATATTTTAGATTTGGAAATGGAATGAACATCTCCTCTAAACTCCCTTGGCATTCTACAAGTACAGATTTTTTTATTTTTATTTTTGGTCTCTTTTGAGATAGGGTATCCCTGTAGCTCTAGCTATCCTGGAACTATGTAGACCAGGCTGGCCTCGAACTCACAAACATCCACCAGCCTCTGCCTCCCAAGTGCTAGAATTAAAGGCCCGCTCCACCACACCCGGCTACAAGTACATATTTTAATTAAACACAAAGAACATGGTTTTCATGCCTCAGTCATAAACAAAATCTATGGAATTACTGCAAAGCTCTGCCATGATATCAACAGTACAGGTTTACAACAGCAGCATGGTAAAATACTGAATTCACTGGCATCCTTTTGGACACTTGGCTAGCCCGGTGTAGTGGTGAATACACATAATCCCAGCATTTGGATGGTAGCAGAACAGTGGTTCAAAGTTTATCTTCCACTAACAGTGAATTCAAGGCCAGCTAGGGCTGCAGGAGACTGTCTCAAAAACAACAAATGCATCTCAAAGGCGGCTTGGAGGTTGGGATTTAGCTCAGTGGTGGAGCTCTTGCCTAAAAAGCACAAGGTTAGGGCTTCAATTGGGGGGTGGGGTACAAAAACAGGACAGGACAACTAAGACATCATCAGAACAAAAGCACAGCAACAACAAAAAAGGCTGCTTGAAAGTGAGTTTTAAACCAGTGAACCACATTCCCTAGGCCTAAGCAATAGACTATATGACCTCAGATATTTAGAAAAATAGTTGAAATCAGAGAATGGACTCCACAAAAAAAGCTTAGAGAGGAAGTTAGGGCTAATTGAAAAAAATCCATGCAAACACTGACTACTCAAGGTTTAACCAATAAAACTATAAGATATCTAAAAAAATGTGTGTTTCCTCCAAAGAGCTAAAAGGCTGCCCACCCCTTACAATTTAAAAGTGAATGGAGCTCTCAGATTGCCTGCTTATAAGGCAGGCCAATAGAAAGTGAGGATCTCAGCTGCCCTACAGAAGGCAGACAATGTGCTGGCCACACTTCAACAGAAAACCAAGAAAGGCCACAAACACCACAGATGCCAGGCATGCATTGGCAGGCCTTTGAACTGGTGCCAGGTCTCTGTCTGCTTGGGAAGAAGGAAGAAGAAAGTGGAAGTGCCAAACCTGCCCCATCAGCAGTCAGCATTTCCTGAAGGGTCTCAAGAAGGGGTAGAAAAGTTTATTTGAAAAAAATCACCAGGCGTGGTGGCACACACCTTTAATTCCAGCACTCGGGAGGCATAGGCATTGGGATCTCTGTAAATTCGAGGCCAGCCTGGTCTACACAGTGAGTTCAAGGCCAGCTGGAGCTACAGAGAGACCCTGTCTCAAAAAGACCAAAGAAGAAAAAACAAAACAAAAAAACTTCAAATAACCAACAGCCAGGCTCATGTTAGAAAGGAATTAACAAGATCTTATGTCAGGCATGCTGTAGATGAGGCAGACTTCAGTGCTCATTAAAAAAAACCACAGTTATGCCGGGCGTGGTGGCGCACACCTTTAGTCCCAGCACTTGGGAGGTAGAGGCAGGCGGATCTCTGTGAGTCCAAGGCCAGCCTGATTTACATAGTGAGTTCCAGGACAGCTGGGGCTACAGGGAGACCCTGTCTCAAAAAGACAAAACAAACAAACAAACAAACAAACAAACAAAAAACACACAGTCCTGGGCAACCCCATACTCTTTTTCAATAGCTGTGACAGGTCTAACATGCTTGGGTCTCTAGTTATTGGAAAAAAAAAACAAAGAGAGACCTGAAATCCTTAGAACTGAACTGAATTCAGCATTAATCAAAGTCAAATTTTCTGGGGAGGAAGGAGTTGAGTAAGGGTCTTTTTTTTTTTTCAATTTAAATTATTTTATGTATATGTGTGTATTGCCTGTAGATAAGTACACCCATGTCATACAATGCCTGCAGAGGCGGTCAGATCCCCTGGGACTGGAATTACAGACAGTTGTTAGCTGCCATGTGGGTGCTGGGATTCGAACCCGGGTCTTCTGCAGGAACCACCACTGTTCCTAACTGCTGAGCCATCTCTCTAGGCCCCAGTAAGGGTCTTAATAGGGCAAACTCACTATGTAGCTAAGGGGGCCCTTTAAAAACTCCTGATCTTCTGCCTTGATGACCCAAGTGCTACAATTACAAGTATGGATAGGCCTGGCTTTATTTTACTCATTTTCAACTTATGTGAGAGACAGTTGCTTTTCAAGCCCTCAGGGTCCTGCAGGGTGTCTGACCTTGGCAGACCTTCAACTATCCTCTCATCTTCCCAGTCTGTCTCTCCAGAGCACCCAAGGACAATACCAGAGATAAAACAACAAATGAGCAAGTGCGTTGCTTGGAATTCCAGAATTAACAGGAAAGCCAAATCTATGTATCAGTAGTTTATGTTCCATGTGATGGAAGCAGTGTATTCCTGGAACCCCAAAGCCATCCCTGAAAGAGATGAGGCCAAACTGAATTTGAAAATAATGTTAATATGGGTGGAAACAAAAGATTTAGAATCTTTTTTGCACACCTTTCTGAGTTTAATTTGAAAAAAAGCACAGAAAATAAAGTGGTGCCATACATATACATTTTGGTAGAGATAATAGGCCCCTTTGGGCTGGAACTGTGTACATCTTCATCATAAACACAATGGAGCCAGCACAAGTTGCACAGCCTACAACAGCAAAGTCTCAAGGCTGCCCCAGCAGGGTCTTTCAAAAAGGACTAAGAGTTCAATAGGCCTTTCAATAAATAGGGCCCAGAACAATGGCACAGTGTGGACTTCTGGAAGCTACAGGGGTGGTTATTACAATGACAATAATAGGGTTGGAGTGGGGGAGAGATTAGCCAGCTCAGATCTTGTGGCCAAATTCCCCATGTGAAGGTAGGTACACTCCAATTACTTTTTCCATTTTCAGTACCCCTTGAATGTTTCAGCAGAGATACTCAAAATATGCAAGAGAATATAAAGGGGTACAAGGCCAAAAAGACCAACTCAGTGGACTATAGCATAACTGGAGAGACAAACCTTTGGAGAGTCAATGGCCCTGGCCTTCCCTGAAACGGTTTCAGAAAAACTTTAGGGGACAGGCTTGAGGTTAAGCCGTAAGACACAGATTTGGAATATATTCTTCATGATTATCAATTTTATGGATGGAAGACAATGCTTTTACAGTTCAAAGCCCTTTGGCACAAGTCAATTTCTCAGCAAGGATACAAAAGACGGTGGATTAGGAGAGGGAAGACTTCCAGCGGTAACTTTACAGCTGCTGGCAAAATCAAGGTCCGGGAGCCATCAATCTGGCTAACCTCCCTCTATTCCGGAAAGATGCCATTCAAAGCAGTTTTTAACTCGGCCCATGCAGAAACTTCCAATTGCGCTTCAGCGTCCACCTAAGGCAGCGTCCCCTCGCCCCTAAATGGTTGCTCTCCTCTTTTTTTCTCTTTTCCATGGGCTCCTACTCTGTAACTAGCTCCTAGAGCGCATAAAGTCATTCCAACATTAGAGTTGATCACTCAAACCAGCTCAGACAGAAGGAAAGTCGTCACAGTAGTCGCAGCAGAGATAAGTGCTGGGGTTGAGGGTCCACCAGACTAGCGGTGGGCACTCCAACTCCGGATCCGGACAGGAGGACCAGACCGCCTTACTCCCGGAAGACACCTAGTCGAGGGACACCTAGTCGTGGGGTCAGGCTGCTGCCACCAGTCAGTCAAGTTCAAAGCTCGTCCTGAGCGGCCACAGTAAACTGGGCGCGGGAAGGGCTCACGAGCCCCCGCTCAGTGTTCGGCAGCGCCTGGCACGCATCCCGAACTAGCAAGCGCTTTCAGAACCACGCGACCCCACCCCGCCGCCCAGTCTCCGCTCAGCGCGGCCGCCCCTCAGCTTTCCCGCGAGGCCCGGCTTCAGCCGATCCCAAAGCGCGATCAGCATCCGCTGGGAGAGGCGTGCCACAACCTCTAGGGTCGCGCGCTCGCCACCGGGCCGCAGCTACGCGCCCACCCGGGCCCCAGCGCCGGCCCATGCACCTGGAGCTCGATCCGCCAGCCTCGCCATCCGCGCCCTGGAACATGTCCGCCACCGCCCCGTGCTGCCTCAGCCGCCGCGCGGCAGTTCCCGCTCGGCCCCGCGCAGGTACCCGGGCCCGCCCGAGCCCACTGGACGCCGTCCATGCCAATCAAGCCTCCTCAGCCTATCGTGGAGCCTTACCCCGCCCCTACCTTCTGTCCCCAATGAGACAGAGGCTTAGACAGGCCGGCGTTGCGATCACAGCCGATTGGCCGGAGCAGTTGCCGCTCACGGTCTAAGATACCCGCACTGGTTCGCATCTCGCCCGCCCTCCATGTCTGGGCGCGTCTCCTGGGGCGAACCCGCGCTCCTAGAGGATCTTGCAGCTCTGGCCTAGCTGTGCGGGGCTGCGGGACTTTGAGACTGAGGTGGAGGGAGGTGCTAGTATCTTGGGCAGCCCTCACGTAGAAGCACAGCCCGCCTCTATAACAGAAGCTATGGGCCCTCTGCAGTCATCCAACCTGCAGGCTGGGCCCCTTTGAACCCCACCTGCTTATCACAAGGACTCACCAGGATAATCTGCGCCCACACCTACCTATCTACCCTAAGCACACTGGCGTTAAAAGCAGGCACAATAGACAATCATTAGATCAAGTGTTAGTATGTATTTATGCACAATAAAAACATTTACAAGTTGAACTGGAAATTTAAACAGAAATTTAACAGTTTTTATTATATTAAATAACCAAAACACCTTTTATTCCCCCAAATTGGTAAAGAATAAATAATATAATTTACAATATGGTACAAAAAATAATCAGAAGGACAGGCATTCTGTTTTATACATACACTGTATATTTATAGTCTATAAAACAAATTCACATCTCAAGCTGGAAACCTTAGATGATATGGCTTAACGATTATCAAAGCAAACAGCACTGAGTTCTGCCTGCTGGCTGCACCCTCCGGCCAGTGATCCCATTAGCCTGGAAGGGGTAGGCTGGTGCAAGGCTTCCAAGACTGGACTGACCTCAGTGAGCTTATGAGTTACTTGAAGGTTGGGAGAGCTCTGGCACCTGGGAAAGGTGTACTGGGGGAGGGGGGGTGTCCTTTATTAATCTTTCCTTTTTAAAATTAAGACAAAGTGCGGTATTTCCTCAGGGATGCATCTGGCAGATCTATTTAAAAAGTAGGTGGAACAGCTTCCTTCTCCATTTGTTTTTACCACTTCTATAGTGTGGTCTGTTTGGTTAATAATGCTATTAAAAATGAATGAGACCTCCCCAGCAGCAAGGCTACTACAAGGAATGAAAAAGAACAGGGTGGGAAAACAAGTTGACGAACTGATAAAATGTCTTCAAAGACTCTCACTCCCTGAGCAAGTATTATACCTCTACAGTATATATGAACTTCAACACGCTTGAGCACCTTCTCTAGGCATATTCATATTACAGAGCAAACATCAGAGATACTAGGTCCCAATCTTTTGATAAGATAAATAAGCAAAAAGTCATAGACAACATTTAAAAGTGTAAGGAAAGATTTTTCTAAGAAACCAAAAGCATGGAAATTACACTGAGCATCAATGCAAAGGAAACCCCAAGTGCACATGGACAATCAAAACTGCTGGAAAGGCAGGAAAGGTGTAGAGCCCAGAATGGCTCTCTACTGGGCTCACCCCCAAGGCTTCCCTTCTGTTTTGATATATGTTAAAGTAGTCTATGCTCCCCAAAGCAGTCTCTGCCAGGGGAGGGTAGTGTTGCAGACACACCAAGGGCTTAGGAAAGCAGACACAACCTTTAGAGTTGATTCTTTCAAAGGTCACAAGGTAATATGTGCCTCAAGGTGTTGCCTGATGAGAACCAGCTCGGAAACTCAACTGCCTGGTATTGTGTGCTCAGCCATCAGGATACGAACAAGTATACATGCTTACTGCTGTGGAAGTCTCTGCCCCAAACTGTGGAAGAAAGGCAGCTAGCAGTGTCCTAAGCTGAGCCTGGAATCCAAACCTGGTACAGATGAAGATGGATACACCTTCAGCTAAGTAAGGCACTGCAGAAAGCACATCGTGGGGGGTAAGAGACATCCTAGATACTACATTGCAGTCTGTGTCCTAAAAGCACTACATGCTGTGCTTCTCATCACTTTAGAGTTTTGTACTTTTACCAATTCCTGGAGTCTACAAACAGGCCATGTCAGGATCTGAGGGAGAAACTGGGAAGTGAAGCTGCTACAGTCACTGTCCTAGGTCCTGCACTAGCACTTGCAGTCTAGTGTATACAGTAGCCAGTGAAACAACAGATCTAGCAGAATGACTGTCGGTCATGGACCTGCTAAGGTCAAAGGAGGGAAAAGGAGCCCCCATTTGCACCATTCTGAGCAAGATGACCACAGTCACAACAGCTCACCAGCACTGGGCTCCAAGAGAGAATCACTACAAGCTGACCAAGTTGTGAGCTCTGATTACACCCTGATACCTGACCCCTGCCTGAGTCCCAGAACAGGAAGACGGCAACCTGGGACAAACACAGGTATGACTCAGGCACCAGCAATAACAAATGAAAAATTCAAGCACATTTTGGAAAGCCTTATCCGTAGCCATATAGTAGTGATTGGGGGTGAGCCCAGTAGAGAGAAACAATTATCTCGGGTCATCTAGAAGGAATTGGGAATGAAACACAGGTACGAAGCCACCTAAAGATAAGGTTCTTGCTTTTCCTTGTTCATGTCTCCCAATTCTTAAACCATAAGAAAACCATTTCCAAACAGCTTTGCAGAACCCTATAAAACATCCATATAACCTGCATAAGACATGATTTCTTTCTCCCTTTTTATGCCAGGCAGAACCAAACCTCTGGATGGGAGAAGCATTACATGAAGGTCAGTATTCTTGGGAAGATGGCACTGGCTACATGTCCCTGGGACTATTCTTTGCCTCATGGTCAGGGCATCCAGAAGTGTTCAGTCGGGTTGCAGACACCACCAGGCAGGAGCTGTGGTCAACTGTCCCCTGGAAACATCATCACAGACAGAGCAGCCAAGTAGGGAAGAGACATCAGAAAAAAGCAGCAGTGGTGGTGGCCTCCTCATGCACAGGCTAACATCTCCCAGGAAGCACTGACTGCCAGCCATGCCTTTTGCAGGGAGGAGACCCTGTGGAAGGCCTTAAGCACAGACTCACAGCTGGGATCACCACACAGGCTGTGGCACTGTGAGAAAGGGCTCCCACACCACAACAATTTCTGATGTCTACTCTTCAGAGTTTGTCCTATTTCCTTGGATGGTATGGCCCCTACTTGTTCAGACAGGCCATGATGAGCTGCTCCTATAGGCTGTATATTCTGTACTGGATAGGTGCTCCTGTTCACCATCTTCTGGGGACTCTGGGCTTAACTTTCTCTACTGTGAAGAGTTTCATGGACCCGCCTCATAGCGCTTCCCTATGGCTTCCAGGATGCCCCTTTCACTAGGCACAGTCACTGGGAGAGGTCACCAACAGGGGGACCACCTCCACCACCATCAAATAAAACCTCCCGGCGGCCAGGCTCAGTGACGGAAAGTTCTTGGGCCAGGTCATTGAACCGAGATATGTAGTCAATGCTGTTCTCATTCATCATGCACACCAGCTGGGAATCTACCACCTGTAAGACAGAAGAAACAAGACCATGTCAGCTGGAAGATGGCTTGTCATTCTGACTAGAGACTCTTTAGTTTCCAAAGCAGAATGTCAATGAAAAGAAGCCTAGTGCTCTGTAAGGAATTTCAGAATCCTCTGTAGCCTAAACACATGAACTTTCTGTAAGTATACACTCTATATATGTATGTGGGGAAGTCCCAGGGAGAATGACATATCTGGCTGTTAGTATGATAGTAGCTTCCCCCTGAGACACACAGTGGAGACAGTCTACAGGAACAGTTAAAAAAAAAAAGGGGGGGGGGTGGCAGAGATCACAGGAGACTGCAGAAAACCCAAGCAGAACTGAGCTTGCCTTAAGGTAGAGTCAGAAGGTCTCCAAGGCACTAGGACCTGACAAGTATGGGAACAAGGTACCTAATAATGTGAGGGTGGAACATTCTCATTAAAAGAAACAATTACCTAGGGCTGGAGAGAGGGTTCAGCAGTTAAGAGCACTGACTGTGAAACTGAAGCCAGCCTGGTCTACATAGTGAGTTTCAGGATAGTTGGGGCTAGAGGATTACTCTGTCTCAAAAAAGATAAAGAAAAAAAGGAAAAGAAAGGAAAATAAATAAATACAAAGGCCCTGAGAGGACACAGGTTGAAACTATTCAAGAAACACTAGAAAATGCTGGACCCTGCAGTTTCAACATTCATAACCCCAAGGTTTCTGCAGGCTCATAGGAGCCAGGGACTTACATCTACACTAACACTAGAAGGGAAAGAGAGCAGTTATTTGCGAAATATTTATGCTATAAGGAGTCCTATGAATAGAGTCCATAATAAATGGGATTGAGAAACGCCATAGATTTTTGTTTAAGAGAGGGTCCTGGAGTGATGGCTCATTGGGTAAAGTGCCAGCAATGCAAGCATGAAGACTTGAGTTAGGATTCCCAGCACCTAAAAGCAGAGCATGGGGGCTGGAGAGATGGCTCAGCGGTTAAGAACACTGGCTGCTCTTGCAGAGGACCCAGTTTCAATTCCCAGTACCTATAAGGCAGCTAACAATGTCCTAACTCCAGTTCCAAGGGCTCCAATGCCATCTTCTGACCTCTGCACAACAGGGGTACACTTACATACATGCAGGCAATACACTCATATACTTATATACATAAGATAAAAATAATTTAAAAAAAAAAATAAAAAGGCAGGACATGCAGTGTGCATCTGTAGTCCTAGCTGGGGGTGGTGGTGTCAGAGAAAAGCAGATCCTCAGAGCTCATTGGCCATTCAGCCTACCAGAAAACAACGAACTCCAAGTTCAACTGCCTGTCTCAAAACATAAGGTGACAGGGTTGGCAAGATGGCTCAGTGGGTAAAGTTGCTGGCTGCAAAGTCAGACAACCTGAGTTCAATACCAGGGGTTCAAACAATGGAGAGAACCAATTCCTTCATGTTGTGCTCAGATCTCCACGTACACACACACAAGCAAAAGTAAATACATAAATTTTAAAATAAGGTAAAGAACAATTGAGGAAGATATCTGATGTAGACCTCTGGCCTCCACATACATGTACACATGAATACACACCTGAACATGCACATCCCTTCAATGCTGTGAGAGATTCACAGCATTACTGTACCTATTTTTTTTAAAGATTAAACCTGTATATGTGTGTGTGTGTATGTATCTATGTATGTCTTTGTGCATGTACACCCAAACCTGTGTATTTTTTTTTAATTTAAAAAAAATTATTATTTTTATGTGTACGAGTGTATTGCCTGCGTGTATGTGAGTGCACCCGTGTTGTGCAATGCAATGGAGGTCAGAAGAGGGCTTCAGATTCCCCTGGAACTGGAGTTAAGGACAGTTTGTAGCTGCCATGTAGGTGCTGGGAATTGAACCTGGGTCCTCTGCAAGAACAGTCAGTGCTCTTAACCGCTGAGCCATCTCTCCAGCCCTTGAGTACGTTTTCTTATGTGTGCGCATACATGCCAGAGGAGGGTGTCAGGTATCTTCCTCTATCACTTTCCACCTACTCTTTTGATGCAAGGTCTCTCTCTGATCCTAGGGCTGTTTTCTAAGGTAGACTGGAAGCCTAGGTTACTAGATGGTGGGTGCTGGGATCTGAACTCATAATTGCACAGCAGAGCTCTTAACTATACTGTGCTACATCTCTAGCCCCTCTATTTTTATACTGTTTTGAAATTGCCAAGTTTGGAACTGGAGAGATGGCTCAGCAGTTAACGACATTGGTTGCCCTTGCAGAAGACCTGGGTTTGAATCCCAGCCCCGACATGGCAACTAACAACTGTCCATAACTCCAGTTCCAGGAGATCTGACAGCCTCTTCTGTCCTCTGCGGGCACTGCACAACACGGGTACACTAACCTGCATGCAGGCAATACACTCATACACATAAAATAAAAATAAAAATAAAATAAAATAAAATAAATAAAATAAAATAAAATAAAATATATTAAAAAAAAAAAAAAGAAAAGAAATTGCCAAGTTTGGCTCAGAATTCTCCAGAGCATTCCTTGATTCTACCATCTCAAAATCTACACAAGAACACTGAGAAACCAAGGAACTGTGTGCAAAAGCTGTGCTTTCTTTGGGGCGGGGGGCAGTGTCTCATTCTGCATGTTAGGCTGGCCTTAAACTAACAGCTATCCTCCTGCCTCAGTCTTACAAGTACTAAGATTACAGTTATATACCACCATGCCTCATGTTTTGAATTTTGTTTGACCTGAGCTCACCTTCATGTGTCTGACTCTAAACCCTCCTGGAATAACTAGCACCCAGGGCACCAAGCTTGGGAAATGTTGCCCTAGGGTATTCTCTTCAAGATATGTGCTTTGATAAAAGTCTCTCCTGTGATGCCCACAGCTCTACACCTAGCACCAGTGTCCTTTCTTCTCCCATCAGCACTACCTGGTAGGCCTAACTGGCCAGACACACACAAACTCTTCCACAGAACCTGTTCCCAAGTTCCACAGGGTCAATGCAACAATAAATTAGAGGGAGATATTGCTCAAAGGTGCCCTGCAGCCAGAGCAGGGAAGATGATGACAAAGCATCTTACAACCTCCAAATGGCACTACACCACACAGATCAGGAAACTGAGGCAGCTCAATGTCACACAGCAAGGTAAGTACATGAGGAGATCCAACCATACTCTGACTCCCTTGTGGTGACTTAACTGTTGACCCTGACCCCAGGTTTCCCAGGTTTAGAAGTCAGTAGAGGACATGCTACTTACAGTCTGCTGTGGGCCATCAGTTGACCCAGTGCTGCCAGATCTCAGTGGTCAGAGACCTGAATGTTCTTCCTCCTGACATCCCCTCCTGATGAGCAATCCTTAAGACCCCCAGTTCTCAGGAGGGACCCTAAAACCTCCAGAATGGGCCAGGAGGTCAAGTTCAGATGTAGAGCACTGCACTTACTTCTGCAACATCAGCCAGGGACCTGGATACAAAAGAGTCCCGGGAGTTTCCATCCAACAAGCTAGGGCCAAGCAAGGAAGTACCGCTGTTAGCCCCAACAGGAGTTGGCAGCATCTTTCTGCTCTTCTCGGGGGAAATGAAGCTGGCTGCAAAGAGAGGTTGAGTTAGGCACAGGCATCCTGAAAGTTGGGGTGGCAGTCCAGCCAGACCACCTCCAGGTCTCTACCCACAAACTGTGTCAAGGGCTACAGATAGCACCATTGTGCTATGGCAGGCTTTCCTCCTGTAAAGATGAGAGTACATATTCATGTTTATTATTTTCCAAGGGCCCCAGTGTCATATTCCCTCACCTCCCAAATACATATTGTATTCTCTGTGGCCAGACCCTCACTGATGGGCACTAAGGTTGATTCTAAAATCTTACATTGTAGGTGATTTTGCTCATGTCTGCATTGTTTATTTGTGACAACAAAACCACTGGTATAGGGCTGGCTCCCTCTACTTCCAACTTTCTCCAGTCCTTCTGGACCACCAGGCATGACAGTCACAACCAAGGATTATCAAGTTTGTCACTAGGGTTATTAGGATAAAACTCTGGAACCTGGCAACTGTAACAAGGCAGGCTCAGCCACCTATTTTCAATATACATATTAAAGAAACAAGTAATAGTGAAAAGCAGATAAAGATTTATTCACTGTGATAGCACAAGGAAAAGGAAAAAGGAAAAAGTTCAGTGGTCCCATCACCCAAGTCCATCTTTAGGTTTGGACACAAGATTTGGGTTTAAATAGAGGGCAAGAGGTATCCATAATGAAACAGCCTTTGCCACCATGTGGTCCCACCCCTATTGACCCATTAATGTCTCAGCATTCATCTACTCTGCAAAGTGGTTTGGTAAATTGCAAGAACTATGTGAAATCTCTTCTTGGTAAAGACAGTCCACAACTCTGCATGTGTGATCAAGAATATACCACAAGGCAAGGTGTGGTAGTGCACACCTTAAATTCCAAAACTCAGACACAGGCAGATGTCTGTGAATATGAGGCTAGCCTGGTCTACAAAGCAAATTCCAGACCAGCCAGGGCTATATAGTGAGACCCCCAGAATCAATCAATCAATCAATCGTTAATTAATTAATTAATTAATTAAATTGGAGAGGGCACTGAGAACCAGACAAGTGATCTGAATGGTCTGTCTGCATTATGCTGTGGGCTACCAGAGTCTGTAAGCATGTTAACATGCAGTGAACTAGACACTAAAAATCTGTGCATTTTCCTATATGTAAATTATGTCTAAAAAAGTTAACTCAGAAATAAACTCTTGAGAAACAAGCAACAGGGCTAGCAGGGCCCTGGCATGAACACTTAGAATGTAATTTCTCCAGACTCAAAACTGCTGGCTTTGGCAAGGAGGTCCCTCCAGAAACACTCACCAAACAAGCTGCTGAGTGAGGAGTCTGTGGAATCACTGGGGTACCACTGGGGGTCATGGGTGGGGGAGGCAATCCAGTTGGGCTGGGGACTGCTGGATGGGGAAGGAAGACTCTTGGAACTGTCACTGCCGTTCAGTTTTGCTGGAGAAAGAGGGACTCCTTCACCTGTCAACCAAAATCCAAGGTCAAAGATACCTCCTTGAATCCCCACCAAGGCAGAGAAGCAGGGCTGTGTACTATTGAACCCAGAAAACTCAGGAACCACATGAGAGAAAGCAGTGGTCTGAAAACAAGGATCACAGAACCTCCAGGGAAACTTCATGCTATAAAAGGGAACAATGCAGAACACAGCATTGCCTACCACTGGCAGGGTCAGGCCCTGGGCCCAGGGTTCTACACAAACCATCTGCATGGTGCCTGCACCAGTCCACAGGGAGCACAACAGTCCTAATAGCATGCCTGTGGAGCACAGACTACTTCCAATCTACTGCCGAGAAAAGTAAGGTTCAAGTAAGTCCTTATTTGTAAGGCCCACATGCTGAGAGGCTGCCCCACAACATGAGTCATGCCAGCAGGCAACAGCCATACCTCTAGTATCAGGCTATCATCCCAGAGTGAGTGGGGCCAAGCCCTTGATGGCTACTTGTGCAGCTACGTCCTGAGCACTGCCTGCAAACCTGCGGGTCGCCTTCCAGATGCACAACCAGGAAAGTGATCCCCAGGCTACAGAGGGCCTTGTGAACCAACCCCAGGCATATCAGGTTCCTTTTAGCAAGTCTAGTGCCCTATCTTGGTGAGAACTTGGTTCTAAGAAAGGTATGCAAGGCCACCTGCACTTACTGTACTGGCCAGAGCTGATGGCAATCTCAATGATAGAGTCACTGATCTGTGTGGCGGGTTCTCCCTGTGAAAGAACATCCTCAGGTGGGCCAGGCAGGGAGATGTCCAGCAGTGCAGAAACATTAGGTGGGGAGAGCCGGGTGTTGGAGCTCTCTGATGAGGGTAGAGGTGTGGAAAGGCCATTCTGGAGATGTGCCTTGGGCAAGTCGGGTAAGGAAAGAACGGATGATCCCTGCCAGAAGCAGGACAGATATTGTTCAGACACAAGATGCCAATCAACACTTAAAACAGTGAGTACAGCTTCCACCTCTAGCTTGGCAACTGCAATGGATACAGGGATCCCCCATTCTCCCAAGGGAGGAACATATCTGGAGAATTTACTTTTCCAAAAGAAAGCTAAGACAGGATGGGGTGGACCTGTTTCCATTGGCAGCACATATGTGAACAGCAATGCTCAGAAAATTACCAGCTGATACCCTCCAACTCCCCAGCACAGAAAACCCAACCATTTTATTTTTGTTTTTCAATCATTTATATGTATCTTGCCCATGGAAGCCAGAAGAGGGTGTCAGAGCCCCTGGAACTGGAGTTACAGATGATTATTAGCCACCATGTAGATTTGGGGAATTGAACCTAGATCCTCTAAAAAGAACAGTCAGTGCTCTTAACCACTGAGCCATCTCTCTAGCCCCAAAACCCAGTCTTTTTAGATCTGTGTCTTAATGAAAAAAGCTGGGGACAGAATACCCAGGTTCATTCATTCACTAGGCAGTAGGCAAAGCAGGTATAAGAACTGCAAAGTTGCTAGGAACCATGGTTTATGAACTCAGGGAAGGTGGGGACTCCAGTCCCAAACTCCACTCTACCTGAAAACCATCTGTCAATGGCTCTTGCTCTGGTCTTGGAATGCTGATAAATGGGTCACTAGTTCCCTGGAAGAACAGCAAGAAAGTCAAGTGAGTAGACCACACTGGGCTAAAACCACTACTAAGTACTTGCCTGAAAAACTATTCTTAGTTGCTCCAGCCTCCCGACAGACAGATGAAGAAATGGATTGTGTTCTATCTAGGACAGAAACTCTGGACAGCCATTCTCACAGTGTTGGCTCTGCACTTAAAATCTTTACTGCTTCCAACAGTAAATTAAAGGCTCAGTAAAAGTTGGTTTCATAATCTCAGGACCTATAGCTCCATTGGCTCTACCCATCCATCCTCCTCTCAGGTAAACAAAGAAACCAGAGCACTTGGAGACTCAGGAAGAGAGAAGTCAAGGCTAACATGAACTGTTCTTCATCTAGTTGTACCAGGTATTTAGTACCACCTGAGCAAGGACCCATGGACTGATAATCAGCCTTTGTGTTATAATTCAGCAAGCATGTCACCTTGCTCCTCCTACTCCATGTTCAAAGGCAGGTGTTAAAACCTTGGCCTCTCTGACTCAGCGCCTTCCTAAACCAAGAGGCCTAACTTCTTCAAAGGTACAGCAGGGTCCAGTATGACCTCAGTCTTATGACCTGGCTCCAGAAGCACCCCCAGAAGCTAGTGATATACCAAACAGTTCTTGTGCAAGCACTCACCCTCACAGCAGTGACAGGCTCTCTGTTATGGTGTGGTCCAGTGTCATCCTGCCCTGAGACAGCTGTTGTCACCTCCTCTGAAGACAGTGGAGTGATGCTAGATGACCCATCAGTATCCAAAACTGGTAGGGGACTTCCGGGGATGATGCCAGCACTTTGAGCTGCTAGGTCAATGGCACCTGGCAACAGAACTGATATATAAAATCTCTGCTTCATGACACCCCACATGATATATGCCTAAAGAGCTCAGGACAGCTTCTCCCTCATACCTAGCTTCGGTGAAGAGCTGAGAGATTTGATGTACTCTTAGCAAGGCAATGAGACATTATGTCTTTCTTGGAGAATAGATTACAAAGCATTATAACAAGCTACTCTGTAAACTCACATAGTGGCTATCACTGTGAATGGTACAGACTTACTGGCTAGGTGGCTAGTGGCCCGAGACGGAAGGACCTTGGGCACAATCGGCCGAGACAGGGCTGCTTTGGTCAGAGAAGACTGGATGGGACGGAACCAGCCTCTCCCTGTGAAGGGAAGACAAAAGCAGACATATCAGTTGGGCTGCCTGTGCCCTACAATGTACAACAGGGCTGTGGAGGGTTTCCTTCACAGACATAGCTGGGGTCATAGCAAGCTACTCAAGGCCCCAAATACTTGTTCACCAAGTATCTGTTTCACTGAAGAATCCACCCTTTCTGGGGCTTAATTCAAAGCACCAGGGAACCACTACTTTACAGATGTTAAAAAATTTGACCCATATATCCCAAAAACACATTTCATAAAGTGTATGTCACAACCTCTATGGAGAGAAGGCAAACATCCCACTGAACTGAACTCATTGGCATTCCAACAAGGACAATGGAATACACCTTCAAAGGAGGTACAATCCAGCCACTGGCAGAGCCTTTGCTCAATACTGCAGCCAGGCTCAGCACAGAGTACACTCAGTATATGTTAGGAGAATGAACATAGATATGCTAGAAATGACACTCAAATAGCCATGGAAACCAGCACCTACAGTCCCACAGCTAGACATATCCTGGTAATATTCAGGAAAAACTAGTACAGGGATACACAATCTTACCAGCTATAGGAGAATTAGATAGGATGGAGAAGGAACACACATTATGGGACTGGTTTTCAGATGGTCTAGGGAGCAGTGTTCGCTGTGGGGGAAAAAAAAAGTGAAAGTCAAGGTAACAAGAAGACACCAGTGTTTAAAAAAAAAAAAAAAAAAAAAAAAAAATCCCTCCAGAATGCTGGGAATAAGCTCTTTCCTAGGAAAACAGGAAAAACGTCAAAATGACCTGGTTCAAGCCTAGAAAGTTCTAGATTTATCTGGATAATGGCATCTGCTTACAGCCATGAAGAGCACTAATAGGGCCAAATGCTGAACATAATGGGTAGGATGGAGAAAGTAAAGAGACTGCTTGGGACAAGAGATGATCATTCCCAGATCTCCTGCATGTGAACAAGGTCCTGGTGTACTCAGGGTACCTATTCAGCTGAGAAGAACTTGCAATGACCACTGAGACTGATAACAGTAAAAGAGTTACAAGTATCTGTCAACTACAATGTGTCCTGAGGCAACTAAGCCTGGCATATAGTTGCTATTCTTTGTTCATGTGTAAAGGATTCAGGGTGCCTGAGGCCTTTTCTAATGGATGAGTACCACAGGTATTTGGTATCAGCAGAGACCAGAGGGGAGTGTTTCTGGAGAGGATAACATGACTAATTTACTAACAACTCCCAAAAATTCTGTGTTCACTTCACCTCATTCCAAAGGGTGCAGCAATTAGCAAGCTTTCCATAAAGGGTCAGGCAGGAAATATTTTCAGCATTGGGGCCATATTTTCCCCTGCGCATCAGAAAGCAGCCACAGAACCTGTTCCTAGCTAGGGGTGCTTTCCGACTCCCAGGATAAAGGATTAAATACACTAAAGTTAAATTAAGTACTGATGGGGGCTGGAGAGATGGCTCAGCGGTTAAGAACACTGGCTGTTCTGGCAGAAGGTGGTTTGAATCCCGGCACCCACATGGCAGCTAACAACTGTCCATAACTCCAGTTCCAGGGGATCCGACAGCCTCTTCTGTCCTCCGAGGGCATTGCACGACATGGTGCACTTATATACATGCAGGCAACACAGGTATACACATAAAATAAAAATAATAAGCCAGGCGTGGTAGCACACACCTTTAATCCCAGCACTGGGGGGGCAGAGGCAGGCGGATCTCTGAGTTCAAGGCCAGCCTGGTCTACATAGTGAGCTCCAGGCCAGCTGGGGCTACAAGGAGACCCTGTCTCAAAAAGACCAAAATAATAATAATAATAATAATAAAATATTTTTTAAAAATTTAGTGCTAAGGGTACACAAACAACACAAGATTTAGAATGCATACTTTTCCCTAAGACCATTCATGAACTTATTTCTTTCTTTTGTTTTTTGACATGATCTTATTCTATGACAGAGGCTGGCATCAAACTCAAAAAATCCTCTTGACTCAATCTCTTAAAAAAAAAAAAAAAAAAAGATTTTGTCTGTGTGTGGGTTTGTACATGTGAGTGTACTGTCTATGTAGGCCAGAAGAAGGCACCATATCCCCTTCAACTGGAGTTACAGGTGGTGGTAAGCCACCTCATATGGGTGCTAGGAACTAAATTCAGGTCCTCTGAAGAGCAGCAAGTGCTCCTAACTGTTGAGTCGTGTCTCCAGCCCCTTGACTCAATCTCCTGTGCACTGAGATTATAGGTGTGAATAATTTCAGTAGAATACAGACATGCATACTTCTTATTTCTAAATAAAACTAGTTTCAAAGGAGACTATTTTAAATTATATACATTTACTCTGTGTGTTTGTGTGTGTGTGTGTGTGTGTGTGTGTAGGATATGACAAGCATAAAGAGGTCAAAGGATCAGGATCCGGCTCTCCTACCGTATGGGTCCTAAGGATCGAATTCAGGTTGTCAGCCTTGGTGACAAGCGCCTCTACATACTGAGCCATCTCACTGGAGGCTAACAAAAGGAAACTGGTCCATTAATCTCTTCTAAAAATTACATATAGGGCCAATGAAGTGGCTCAGCAGACAAAGGCACCAGAGCTGCCACCAAAGCTGAGGACCTAATTTCAATCTCTGGGACCCACCTGACAGAGAGAGGGGACCAACTCTGGCAAGCTGTCCTCTAACTTCCACATGTGCCCTGTGGCATACATGCACACACCTACATACCCACACAGCCAGAGTAAATAAATTAAAAAATTTAAAATACATCAGGAGTGGCAGCACATTCCTTTGATCCCAGCACTAGGGAGGGATCTCTGTGAGATCCAGGCCAATCTGGTCTACATAGCAAATTACAGGTCAGATGAGGCTACAGAGACTGTCTCAAAAGCACAAACAAAAATTAAAAATAAATGAAAATTATATACATTCACAATTTCTATGGCCAAACTTATTTCAGACTCACAGTCTCCTTTTCTTTTTTTCTTTTTTTTTTTTTGGTCTTTTTGAGACAGGGTCTCCCTGTAGCCCCAGCTGTCCTGGAACTCACTATGTAGACCAGGCTGGCCTTGAACTCACAGAGAGCCGCCTGCCATTGCCTCCTGAGTGCTGGGATTAAAGGCATGCACCACCACACCTGGCACCTTTTCTTTTTATCTAGAAATGACTATCTTCTTGGGTACCCTGAGCAGCCTGTCTGCCATGGTTTGCAGACGGTATCTGTGTCCTCTTACCACTCACTATAGTCCTAGAAACCCTCACCTCCTGTGTTTTATTAACCCACATTCTGACAGCCCTCAGAGACCTCAGCTTGGACACTTCTCTGACCAAGAACACGACTTGTTTGCAATTTTCAATGCTCAAAAAAGTCCATCTTTACCATTATATTTCTGCTCTTCTGTTTTTCCTATTCATAAGAAGAAAAAGAAGGGCAGGGATTTCTTCCATTTTATTCCAAAAACCAAAGACATGAAAAGAATAGTGTCTTTTGGCCGGCTCAGCTGGACAGAGTATGACACGAACAACACAGACACAACTTAGAGCTGTAGACTCAATGTTCCCTCACCTGGACCACCAGTGGCTTCCGCAAGTGCCGTTTCCGCAATTTCTTGGGTTTTGGTGAGAAGAAGTCTGACTGCATCTATGAGAAAAAGAGTGTGAACTCTAGGACAGGCATTCCATTTGTGTGGCATACCACAGCCACCCCAATTTGACACTTCCAGCACTCACGCTAATGGAGTCCAGATGCTGCCGGAAAGTCAGTTCTGCCTCTTTACTGGGAGAGAAGAGCTTCCCATGTCGGCTGTTGGGTGGCAAAGTTGTTGGGACAGCAAAGAGGCCACCATCAGAGTCACTGCTTCCTGTGTTGGGGGGACCAGCCACCAAAAGGGGTCTTGGGGGGTTTCTTAAACCTAGAACGGAGGGGAAAATCATGTGCTGATACTCACCTACATCCCATCCAGGGTGAAGGAGTCCCTTACACTAGGAAGAAAACTAGGAAAGAAGTCTCCTGACAACTGACTATTTTATCCCACTAAAGCCCTAAATTTCTTCTTTCAGTTCCTGGTCCCTCTCTGCAAAGATTGCAGATCTCTTGAGGATAAGCACATCTCCATTATTCAGTGCTCGGAGGGAAATGGTGGGATAACTATCCAAGACTTCAAAACTAAAAAGGCTTTATTTAGGGTACCTCTAGCCTAACCAAAAGAAAGCAGGCTCTCTCTATAGAGAGCTACCAAGCAACAATTGGTGGCCACCATTTTCTGTAGCAGTTCAACTCCACATGGCAACAGGAAGGTAGTCACAGACCATGTATCAGCAAGCAAGTGTGGCTATGTGTGGCCATAGCTATTTGTACAACAGAGCTATGTATAAAAAGAAGACTTGGGGCTGGAGAGATGACTCAGGAATTAAGAGCACTGGCTGCTCTTAAAGAAGACCTGGGCTCAGTTTCCAGCACTCACATGGCATCCCACAACAGTCAATCCCTAACTCAGTTCCAGGGGATTCCATGCCCTCTTCTGGCTTCTGTGGGTACTGGTGTCTTACATTCATGCAGGCAAACACTCATATACATAAAATGAAAATAAATAAATAGAGGACTTGAGGTGCACAGTCTGCTGATCCCTGGATAAAATCTCCAACTTTATAGAAAACAACTCAGAGATAAAAGGCAGAAAACATTTATTTCAGAACAACTCCATTATGGTAGTGCTGCTGTAAAGCACCTTTGGAGTTCATGGCTGGGTGGGGGCCACTCATAGTCCACAGGCTAGGCTCACTAGGCACAGGACACATTTCTGAAAGTGCACACCCCTGAGCTTATAATCCTCAATCAGATAGAGCACATTCGAAGATTTAAAATCTACTGGAAGGCAAGAGAGGCAGTACTGCACCCCGACTATCCACCAAAAGGTAACAGGAATAGTGCCTATGGGTTTGATTCCTACAGCAGTCCCTGAAAGAAATGAGAAAGGGAAAGGAAAAACAGAGAGCAACTGTAAGATGTATCCCCCAACAGCACAGTCTTGAGCTCCTCACAGGCAAATGCAAGGAATATCCAGCATAGTCTATAATGTAAAGCCTGCTTACGAAACAGCAGAGATATCCTAAAGCCATCAATGCTCTCAGAATGGAAAATAATCTTGGATACTATGTGGTTTTGCCAAAAGAATTACTGTATCTTTGGTATACCTATCCAGGTTTAAGTGTTGCCTAATAGGATGGGCTTCCCTCAGGACAGGAAGTAGGTTTAAAGCAAGCAAAACTGACACCCTGGGAAATGGGCCACACTATCTTGGGGTTTTATGTATCCAGTGACAGAATTCAAGTATTTCCTAGAGATACCTCATTAGAACACTTGCCTAGCATGTATGTTATCCTGGATTCCATCCCTAGTACTGCAAAACAAAAAAACATATTTCTTAGATGAAATTCAAGGATACACTGAAAGGCAAGTTACTTCATCTTTCCTTCCAATACTGGATTAAACTGCTAGCACGCCCCTTAATGAAAGACTGCCTTATTCTAATGTTTTGGAAGCAAAGAAACAGTTGCCACAGATTCAAGAACCAATCTGCCTTAGGAAAGGCTCCATTTAAGCCACTAACTCATCATGTTATGGAAGCTTCTCCTGGTGTCATGATGCAAAAACTCCAACGTGGGACTGGAGAAATGGCTCAGAGGTTAGGAGCGCTTGCTGCTCTTATAGAGGACTTAGGTTTGGGTCCCATAATCACGTCAGGAAGGTCACAACCACCTATAACTCCAGCTCTAAGACTCTGACACCTCTGGTCTCTGAGAGAAACTGCACTCATGAGTATATGCCCACACATAGACACATATACAATAATTTAAAATAAAATAAATCTTAACAACCAAGCCAAGTGTGGTGGCCCACGCTTTTAATCCTAGCACTCTGGAGGCAGAAGCAGGCAGATCTCTGTGAGTTCAAGGCCGACCTGGTCTCCATAGCAAATCCAGGTCAGCTGTGGATACAGGGAGACACTGTCTCAAAAAGATCAAAACAACAACAAAATTTCAACATAACCAGACAGATTTAAGGCCACCCTACAATCTGCTTCTAACATGAACCAGGTCCTTTATGATATTCCCCTGTGTATACTACCCCAGAAGGTGATTCTGTGTCTCTACCATGTCTATTAGACCATGTTGTGATGGACATCAGGACCAGTGTGTTCCTCTCTGGCACAGAACCCAAGGACATTAGGACACACTGGAGCTTACCTGAAGAGCAAGGTGCAGAACCAGGTGGGAAAGTCTTGCTGCTGCGAAGGGCAGATTGGTTGCGAGGACAGCGGGGACTCCGAGAGCTAATGGTCACTACCTTCCCTGGGGGAGTTGTAGATTGCTCCTCTTGGGTGGGTTTCACTGAGGCTGTTGATGCTGTGTTTGTATCCAGAGCCTGGACAGACACCAGCCAAAAAAATGCACATGCTCAGTTCAAGAAAAATGGGTCTGACACAAGTACCCTGAGGACACCCATTTCCATGTTGGCAAAAGTCAAAAGTTAAGTAAGCCTGACCTTGGAATGCCCCAAAGTCACTTGGCAGCTAGCTATTTTGGGGTACTGTTGGGTTTTGTTGTTGTTGGTTTTTGGAGGGGGGCTTTATTAAGATAGGGTCTTGCTCTGTAGCCCTGACTGACTTCAAACTTACGATGATCCATATGCCTTAAAGTTTTGGGATTACAGGCTTGAGCCAGCAGACCCAAGTGGGTCTCTAGTTTTAAAAACCACTGAGCTGGGTATGGTAGTATACCCCTTCAATCCCAGTACTCAAGAAACAGAGAGGCAGGAGGATCTCTGAGTTCAAGGCCAGCTTAGTATACAGAACAAGTTCCAGGTTACCCAGAAGCTACAAAGCAAGACCCTATTTTAATAAAGTCCCCCTCTATTTAGTGATACCATGTTTAAAAAACAAACAAATACAAATAAGCAATGAAAGAAAAGGGAAATAAAGGAGTACAAATCCCCAGAAAAGCAACAATTAATAGTAACTGCATTTTAAAAAAGGCACAGTAATTGGTAATTCCAATACTTCTACAAGATTGGAAGAGACAGGAGAATTGGCCAGAAACTCATGGAGCAGTCAGCTTGGAGGTAGAGCTTAAGTGAGGTGCAGTATTGGGAGAGAGGGAGGATGGGGGGAGAGGAGAGA